CAAGCTGCTTACCTATTGCAGATTCAGTCTTCCCAGCCTGGTGCAGGTCTACAATTTTGTTCTGGTGTCCTTTGACAGCTCTTTGGTCTTGGCCATAGTGGAGTTTGGAGTGTGACTGTTTGAGGTTGTGGACAGGTGTCTTTTATACTGATAACAAGTTCAAACAGGTGCCATTAATACAGGTAACGAGTGGAGGACAGAGGAGCCTCTTAAAGAAGAAGTTACAGGTCTGTGAGAGCCAGAAATCTTGCTTGTTTGTAGGTGACCAAATACTTATTTTCCACCATAATCTGCAAATAAATTCATTAAAAATCCTACAATGTGATTTTCTGGATTTTTTTTCTCTCAATTTGTCTGTCATAGTTGACGTGTACCTATGAAGAAAATTACAGGCCTCTCTCATCTTTTTAAGTGGGAGAACTTGCACAATTGGTGGCTGACTAAATACTTTTTTTCCCCACTGTAGGTAGTGTTTTAGCTAGAAGCCATCTCTGCTCCTCCTCCTCTCCCTCTGCTCACAACATCACAAAATTGTTGTTGGACTCATCATTTTGATAAAAACTATGATTTGCAAAATGATGGCATATACTGTACATATAAATCTATCAATTCTGCCCTCCTCTTTCAGTGTTTCACTTTCAAAAGTATAGCATAGTAATAAACAATTTGAAGCATAATGTAGGACTAGTCAAAATATTTAAGAATTTTACATCCGTTGTCATAATCTTGACACAAACAGTTATTGATTAAGCTAGTTTTATCCCTCTCCAGAGAGCACCTTTAGCATGCTTCAAATTCATGAGCTCTGTTTGACAATTAGATATCACACTGTATTTTACCAGACGTTGTTGTTGGTGGTAATCCCAAATTAGAGCTGGATTAAGGAGAAGAAAGGGGTATAGTGGTCCAGACAGTGTGGAATGAGCTGTGCTTAATTAGACAAACTGGCAGTAAACTGTCATCCCTGAGTAATGATGTGGTGAAGCAGCCGGAGAGAGTTTAGAAACAGACACTCTGCACAATGCTGCTTCACACCATGTATAACCTCACTGTAAACTCTCTCTCTCTCTCTGAAGTATGTCATGTGTGTCTATGTCAACAGTATTTGGGGTTTTATACAGGAGAGAGAAAGTGGAAAATGTTGTTTTGTCTTTGGTCGAATGAGTATTTCTTTCAACCAAGTAATTCCTCTGTATTTGTGAGCCAGACAGGTTTTTGGGCTTCTTAACCATTAGGGAAGCAGATGAAGCAGCTGTCTAGTACACATTGCCTGTCCCCTAACCCCATGACCCCATGACCCCATGAACCCATGATCCAGACACACTGTAGTTGGTAACCAGACCTTTTTTTCGTAGCTGTCTATTTACCACCACAAACTGATGCTGGCACTAAGACCGCACTCAATGAGCGTTATAAGGCCATAAGCAAACAGGAAAATGCTCATCCAGAGGCGGCAGTCGTAGTGGACGGGGACTATAATGCAGGGAAACTTAAATCCGTTTTACCTCATTTCTACCAGCATGTTAAATGTGCAACCAGAGAAAAAAAAAACTCTAGACCACCTTTAGTCCACACACAGAGACGCGTACAAAGCTCTCCCTTGCCCTCCATTTGGCAAATCTGACCATAACTCTATCCTCCTGATTCCTGCTTACAAGCAAAAACTAAAGCAGGAAGCACCAGTGACTCGGTCAATAAAGAAGTGGTCAGATGACGCAGATGCTAAGCTACAGGACTGTTTTGCTTGCACAGACTGGAATATGTTCCGGGATTCTTCCGATGGCATTGAGTACACCACTTCAGTCACTGGCTTTATCAATAAGTGCATCGATGACGTCATCCCCACAGTGACTGTACGTACATACCCCAACCAGAAGCCATGGATTACAGGCAACATCCGCACTAAGCTAAAGGGTAGAGCTGCCGCTTTCAAGGAGCGGGACTCTAACCCGGACGCTTATAAGAAATCCCGACATGCCCTCAGATGAACCATCAAACAGGCAAAGCATCAATACAGGACTGAGATTGAATCGTACTACACCTGCTCCGACGCTTGTCGATGTGGCAGGGCTTGCAAACTATTACAGAATACAAAGGGAAGCACAGCCGCAAGCTGCCCAGTGACACGAGCCTACCAGACAAGCTAAATTACTTCTATGCTCGCTTCGAGGCAAGCAACACTGAAGCATGCATGAGAGCATCAGCTGTTCTGGATGACTGTGTGATCACGCTCTCCGCAGGGGATGTGAGTAAGACCTTTAAACAGGTCAACATTCACAAGGCCGCAGAGCCAGACGGATTACCAGGACGTGTACTCCGAGCATGCGCTGACCAACTGGCAAGTGTCTTCACTGGCATTTTCAACCTGTCCCTGACTGAGTCTGTAATACCAACATGTTTCAAGCAGACCACCATAGTCCCTGTGCCCAAGAACACTAAGGTAACCTGCCTAAATGACTACTGACCCGTAGCACTCACGTCTGTAGCCATGAAGTGCTTTGAAAGGCTGATCATGGCTCACATCAACACCATTATCCCAGAAACCCTAGACCCACTCCAATTTGCATTCCGCCCCAACAGATCCACAGATGATGCAATCTCTATTGCACTCCACACTGCCCTTTCCCACCTGGACAAAAGGAACACCTGCGTGAGAATGCTATTCATTGACTACAGCTCAGCGTTCAACACCATAGTGCCCTCAAAGCTCATCACTATGCTGTGGAATGCAGAGTTTGGTTTTCGCCAGACATAATGGGACCCATCTCGTCCAAAAAGTTGACTCAAGTTTGCCAAAAAGCACCTGGATGATCATCAAGACTCTTGGAAGAACGTTCTATGGACAGATGATTCAAAAGTATAACTTTTTGGACGACATGGTTCCAGTAATGTCTGGCGAAAACCAAACTCTGCATTCCACAGTAAGAACATCATACCAAAGGTCAAGCATGGTGGTGGTGGTGTGATGGTTTGGGGATGCTTTGCTGCCTCAGGACCTGGACGACTTGCCTTAATAGAAGGAACCATGAATTCTGCTCTGTATAAGATAATTCTACAGGAGAATGTCAGGCCATCCGTCTGTGAGCTGAAGCTGAAACGCAGCTGGGTCATGCAGCAAGACAATGATCCAAAACACACAATCAAGTCTACATGAAAATTGCTAAAAAGCAACAAATTGGAAGTTTTGGAATGGCCTAGTCAAAGTCCAGACCTAATCCCAATTGAGATGTTGTGGCAGGACTTGAAACGAGCAGTTCATGCTTGAAAACCCACACGTCACTGAGTTAAAACAGTTCTGCATGGAAGAGTGGGCCAAAATTCCTACACAGCGACGTGAGAGACTGATCAACAACTACAGGAAGCATTTGGTTGGAGTCATTGCAGCTAAAATAAATGAAATAAATATGTAATTGTTGTGTTATTTGTTCACTTATGTTCCCTTTATCTAATATTAGGTTTTGGTTGAAGATCTGATAACATTCAGTATCACAAATATGCAAAAGTAGAGAAAATTAGAAAGGGGGCAAATACTTTTTCACAGCACTGTACATATTACCTCAATTACCTTGACTAACCTGTGCCCCCGCACATTGACTCTGTACCGGTACCCCCTGTATATAGCCTCGCTACTGTTATTTTACTGCTGCTCTTTAATAATTATAAAAATATATATATATTTACTTAAATATTTTTTACTTAACACTTATTTTTCTTAAAGCTGCATTGTTGGTTAAGGGCTTGTAAGTAAGTGTCACGATCGTCGTTAAGAGAGGAGGACCAAGGCGCAGCGTGATGAACGAACATGTTTATTTATCATTAGCGATAAACACGGACAGTAAACAAAAACAACAAACGACTCGTAACGTCCTAGGTAACATAGACCAACACGGAACAAGAACCCACAAACACAAAGGGAAAAACAGACAGTTTACATATGGCTCCCAATCAGAGACAACCAGCCAACAGCTGACACTCGTTGCCTCTGATTGGGAGTCACTCAGGCCAACATAGAAATAAACAAACTAGAACTCCCAACATAGAAATACCCCACATAGAAAGAACACACCCTGGCTCAACATATAGAGTCCCAGAGCCAGGGTGTTACAGTAAGCATTTCACTGTAAGGTCTACACCTGTTGTATTCGGCGCATGTGTTTTAGGAGGCGAGGAGAGCGGATGTGATGAGTCAAGGAAAATACTTCAAGATTCACCCTATTAGTCATCCTTTCTCATCAGGCACGTGGCAGGCCAGCCCCATTGAAGGCCCTTGGTTTTGCATCCATTTTAGACTTAGATGACAAGCCGCCAGACAGCACAGGGCCTACCAAGTAACAACTGGCCAGTATTGGCTCACAGAATAGGAAAAGGCCTGTTGGAAACTGTAAACACACAGCATTATTGCTGATAGATTAATTTGTATTTTAAGAATAATGACTAAAGGATTTCACCCCAAATACAGTATAAATGTGTGAACGGTGTTAGAGTTATAATGTAGTGTCAACCCACTAACAGAGGGGGGAAGTTAGAAACTATTGAAAGCATTCCAGGGTGAAGGGGACTAAGAAACGGTTTAAAGGTGGGCGGAGCAAAGTGCCTTTGTGTGTCAAGGGATATAAAAGCTGTATGTATGTTTTTTGGCGCCAGAGCTCTCCATGATTAAAAATACAGATCATTCTTGCTGGTTGCGGACCTTTGTTTAATTCATGATTAAACCAGAGAATTTACACCCTCTGGGAATTATTCAGAGCATTAAGTTTGATTAATTAGAGATAGAAATTCTCGTGACAATTGCACAGACTACTTTTTAATAATGGAGACATTGCCAGTTAAACACATTTTCCCATATTGCATCTCAGAAAGTATAGTAGCCTAATGTAATTTGTTGTGTGGATAATGAAAAGGATATGCCTGATTGACTAACTGACTTGCCTTTCTTAATTGCCCCTGAGGGGATACATAACGTTGAATTGAATTGAATGACTGGCTGACGTGATTGGATGATGTCATTGCAGGTCTTGTCTACCAGTACAATGAGAAAATACCTGTCCCTTCTCTCCCTGGCTCTGGTCTGCTGCTGCAGCGTACAGGCTGAAGTCTTCACCTCTATAGGTAAGCCTATATGTACTGTATGCCTATACCATTACACCTCTGTAGTGTAGGCCTTTACCATTCAAAATATATAAGTAGGCCTATACCATTACTCTTATATGTATGACATCAGGGTGTTTTCTGCATAGAAAAGTCTTGGGTGGGCTGCCTAAGTGTTTTTTATTCAGATCACCAAAGTCCAAACAATAAAATAAAATAATAATACAACTTTTTCAGTGTAAACTTAAACGACTAAACCCAGATATTGAGTATGCAGAAAAGATAATGGACCTATATAGTATTTAAATAAGATCATCTTTGAGATCTAACAAACACCAAAATAAAAGCTAGACAGTCAGGGAGAATCTAAAATGACAAAAATGATGCATTCAGGAGTATTTTTGTCATGGCATGGGACCCACATTGATTTTGTTATAATGTTTGAGTCACTCAGATGGCATAAGACCACGACATAAGCCATGTCAAATTTGTAGAATTGCAGGAAATGAGCTGTAAAACAGTTTTTTTTCTCTCAGCCCCATTGAGTTTTTTTTTTTTTGAATAGCATGAAATTAGCTTTAAAACAGCCACATTTTGTCTCTGCGGCCAAGAGGAGGGCCTCAAAAGTGCAACGTCAGCCACACCCACTGCCACGCCCCCGCCCACCACCTAAGCCCCATTTTGATTCAGAAAAAACCTGGACATCAGTCATCCTTAGTTCCTAATTCCTGTCATATACTGAACAAAAATATAAATGCAACATGTCAAGTGTTGGTCCCATGTTTCATGAGCTTAAATAAAAGATCCCAATGAAGAAACGTAGTGGAACTGGCTTCAAGGTCCAGAGTTGAGTTTGACTACAGGCTATTGAATTGCTGCCTTTCCCAGCATGTTGATACATCTGTATTTGTTGTGTACAGTATGCTATTGAGAAGACCGAGCTTTACACCCCCAGCCTACAAGGTCTCTTTGTCTTAGAGTTGACAGACATTCTTTCTCTCACCCAACCTCCAGAGTGGTCAACAGCTTTTTAAAAAATCTCTCGAGAACACATTTGCTAAGTCTCTGAACTCTCCTCACATCTGACCCGCATAAAAGCAGCATAAAAGCAATCAAAGGAAGGAAACACCTGCGTCAGACAAGGCTTAGGAGATTTTATATAATTTAAAGCAGCCTCATTAACAGATTTTCTCGGTACAGCACATATTTGTAACTAAGCAAGTAGCAGTTGTTCTTATTCAGTCCAATTTCTAAAATAACATTTTGAGCTTAATTGGCACCAGCAGCCTGTATAATGTTAGTTGAAGTCATCCGTGTAATTTACTTTACTTTGCTTCGTTTGGCTGCCATTTGACTAAGATACAAATGTGTCGTGAAGCTGTTTCACTCTCCTTCTGGCAACCGCATCGAGCTCACTCCTAACTGTCCAGCGTTGCCATGGAATTGTTTTCTGCATACAGCGGCATCCCCGCCCCCTTACCTCAAAGACCCATGGGTATTTACAATGCTGTGTGGTTGGACACATAATACTATACAATCTCAGCAGAGGAGGCTACGTGTTGAGAGGTATTTTGCATTTTCACTTACTAAAGTCTGTGTACGAAACTGTTCAGAATATAGCTAAAATATTTCACAGACCATTAAACCGAAGCACTTTCCATGTCCACTTTCTCTCAGGAAATGATGATCATGGGAAATGACTCGACCTGGTTGCCTAACAGTTCTAACACAAAAGCTTCAGGATATTGAATGGGTCATCTTCAGTTTCAACTTCACAGAATTGCTTTTTTCCTTAAACCTTCTATTAGGTCAAATGACAGACCTGATATACACAGAGAAGGAGTTGGTTCAGTCCTTGAAAGAATACATCAAAGCAGAGGAGTCCAAACTAGATGCTGTGAAAAGGTGAACACTACAATCTGTAACCATAGAATCCTTTTAGCCTTTTTTTCAATGATGTTCCTTTGCCAGAATAAGCCTAACTGACAGAGATGGAATAGGCCAGTTTGAGAAATGATCAATAATCGCATTGTAGCACGATTAGAGATAATTTTCTACTGGACTGAACCTGACTCTTTCCCTCCATGTGCTGTGCTGTAGCTGGGCCAACAAGCTGGACGTGCTGACGCGTGCCTCCACCTCAGACCCAGAGGGCTACCTGGCCCACCCCGTCAACGCCTACAAGCTGATGAAGAGACTCAACACGGAGTGGGCCGAGCTGGAGAGCCTGGTGCTGCAGGACCCCTCAGACGGTACGATAGGGATGGAGGGAGGGAGAGGTTACAGCTTCTTCTTCTCTGTGTGGAGGCTTGTGGAGAAGGGGGTGTCGGGCCAATTGTGATCCATCATACTCCACCCCCACATCTGCAGAGTAGAGTGGAGCTGAGAGAGAACACTGGCTGTCATCTTTCATGTCCAGCTGTAACTGCATCTGTTTACATTGGTCACGTCTTCAGTGTGTGCGGGTGTGTGTGTGTGTGTGTGTTTGTCTGTTGTCTTGCCTATATGTTTGTCTTTGCATGCTGTATGCACAGCCATGCAGCTGTGTGTAAATGTGGACCCACCAACATCTTTATGTTGTCAGATGTCTGGAAGGAGGCTAAATGGAAGTTCCAGTGTATTTGTTGATATTAGGAATGGATCGTAACACACTCTGTGTGTTTGTTATCTAGCCATCACCAGAGGCAACAAAAAGACCTGGAGATAACCTAATTATATCAGCTAGTCTCCCTTGTGTTTCCCCGTAGAGCTCTTAGCCTTTACGCCAGTGGTTCTCATACCTCTCCTCTGGGACCCCAGCCGTTCCATGTATTTGATATATTCCACAGCTAACACACCTGATTCAACTTGTCAACTAATCAGCAAACCCTTGAATAGGTGAATCAGGTGAGCCAGTTCAGAGCTACAACAACATGGTGAAATGTCTGGGGGTCCCTGAGGAGAGGTTTGAGAACCACTGCTATACGTGACTAGAATCACAGTTTACATCCTCTAGTTATCTTAACCTCACGCTCTAGATCACACATTATAGCAGTGCACACCAGGCAACTCCACTGCAGATGTTCTGTGCTTGATGCCTTTGACTATTTGTATGCGTCCCAAATGGCACCCTATTAGTGCTGAGTGATTAGTACTTTTTGAGGTCAGTTCGGTTTCGGTTAGAATGTATAGAAAATAATCACAGTTTTTGATTTTTGTACTTTTTTTAGACATTAAATGCACTATACATTATGTGGGTTGAATGCTGTAACAACACAGAATAAAACAATTAATAAAAGTGCTATGATGGTAGTGACTGCCCATTACTGCTTATCACTTATTAACCATAATTTATTCACATGACTTTACTTGAATAAAATATTTGTTTTATTTGATGACTTTATTCCAAGTCATCCTCTCATCGCTATAAAGCTGCTGCCTATGCTCTCTGACAAAATTACTATTTTAGTAGTTCTTCAAAGTAAATAAGGCATACTTTATGACTGCTGAATACCAACTATCAATCACTTAGATCATGTATTTTCCGGTTCGCAAAGCAACTGCTTTCTATCCCTCTCGCACGTTCTCTCTTCTCTCTGTCTCCGTGTCTGCTTCACACAGAAAGGACAAGTAAGTGGACACGCAATGGATTATGGTCATTGTAGTTGATTACCACGTTTTCTGCACTGAACTATGTAGAATGTTGGCCTGTTGGAAACTACAACTCCCTACTACATCGCACAGTTCGGGCTTGATCTGATTTATCTCTACAGAAACTGAGCATCGAGCTCACAGAAAAAAAGGAACGAAATGGAATTCAAATAATTGAACCGACGTCGGTCAATTAGTTATTTAAAAACCAAAAAATAACAGAAATGTTAGTTAAATCGCTCAAATGGGCCCTGGTCAAAAGTAGTCCACTATAAAGTGAAAAGAGTGGTATTTGGGACGAAGCCTTCGATGACTCACAAGATTTGAATCATTTTTCACTGTTTCACTCTGTGTCTGTATCACTGTGGTCCCTCCTCAGGGTTCATCTCTAACATGACAGTACACAGGCAGTACTTCCCTGACCAGGAGGATGAAAAAGGTGCTGCCAAGGCACTGATGCGTCTCCAGGACACGTACAAACTGGACTCTGAGAGTTTCTCCAGGGGCAAACTGCCAGGTAAAGAAGGAGTGTTGTTGTCCTCTCCCTGACTCCATGCAGACACAGTTAAAATCACTCGAACACTGCCAAGGAAGATAGAAGCCTCCATATGTGTTATCACAGTGTATGAGCTGAGCATATCTCAGCCTTCCAGAAAGCTTTGAGCAAGCTAAGTGCTACTGCAGAGTGGTTTCTATTTCTTCCAGCCAGATGTCTAACCTCACCAGAAATGCAAGCTCAAACAGAACAGTCTTGACACCAAGAGCAGATGCTTTGGCCACACATTCACTGTGTATATATATTTTTATGACAAATGTGCATCCTATCCTAGTATTCCACCCCACCAAGTCAGGCAACTCTGTCAGAAAAAGGTTGCAAAAGCAATGTGTTTTGATATGACCCTCTTATTGCTGCAGTAGAAACATAATCTACGGGATCACAACACCATTATGGATTTATGGAGCAATTTTATGGAGTAAACCTCATAAACAGTTCATACACTGCTCATAGACAGTCATATTAATGGAAGTTGCTATGAAGTGCTAATGAGAAACCTCACACAGAACAGAATGGTGTATTTATATATACTGTACTACACTATACTAAGGGTGACAAAATTTCCCCAAATTCCAATGTTTCGCAGAAATCCTGTTTGGAGGATTCACGGATTTCCTGCTTGTTCCCTCCTGATTCCAGGAATCTTCCAACTGGGATTTCTGGAAAACCTGTGAATTTTGCAACCCTAACTATATTATAACTGCAGGTATGCACCACAACGCCATCCTGACGGTGGATGACTGTTACGACATGGGGAAGACAGCGTACAACGAGGCAGACTACTACCATGCAGTGCTGTGGATGCAGCAGGCCCTCAGGCAGATGGATGCAGAGGAGGAGCACGTGGTGTCCAGGGCTGATGTCCTGGACTATCTCAGCTACTCCGTCTACCAGATGGGAGACCTGTCCCGCGCCATCGAGCTGACACGCCGCCTAGTGGCCATCGGTAGGACACACACGCGACATACCGCTGAAACATCTTCAGAACTTGTTTAATATCCAGGAGCTTATTTTCAGTGGTGGATAAAGAACCTAATTGTCATACTTCAGTAAAAGTAAAGACGCCTTAATAGAAAATGACTCAAGTAAAAGTGAAAGTCACCCAGTAAAATACTACTTCAGTAAAAGTCTAAAAGTATTTGGTTTTAAATATACTTAAGTATCAAAAGTAAAAGTAAAAGTATAAATAATTTCAAATTACTTATTTTATAGCAAACCAGATGGCATCATTTTCATGTTTAATTTACAGATAGCCAGACATAATTTACAAATGAAGCATGTGTTTAGTGAATCTGCCGGATCAGGGGCAGTAGGGATGGCCAGGGATGTTCTCTTTATAAGTGTGTGAATTAGGCATTATTCCTGTCCTGCTAAGCATTTAAAATGTAACGAGTACATTTGTGTGTCAGGGAAAATGTATGGCGTAAAAAGTACATTAATTTCTTTAGGAATGTAGTGAAGTAAAAGTAAAAGTTGTCAAAAATATAAATAGTAAAGTACAGATACCCAAAGAAACTACTTAAGTAGTACTTTCAAGTATTTTTACTTAAGTACTTTACACCACTGCTTATTTTTAAGGGTGTTTGAGAACAGGAGAGACGTCTTTCTCTCTCACTCTCAAACACATTCTCACTATCTCAATCTCTTATACTCTCACTCTGTCTCTCACACACATTCCTCACATAATCTAATATTCTCACACATTCTCCAACTCTCATATACATCTTCCAGAGTTCCAGGGTGTAACCCAGAGAGTGGTCATGGTTGACTATTTTAAACTGCATCAGTGATGTTGTGTGTTGAAGGCTGCAATTATGGAGATCTGGTTGCTTTGTTTGAATGTGAAGTTAAATGGACCAAAACCAAGGCGAACAACTAGGAAAATCTGCCAGCACTGTCATATTTACCAAGGAAATAATCAAATTTAAAAGAGTAACATTAGTTACTGTAGTTATCTAGAATAACGTATTGCTGGGTAGTTGTCCCTAGTTTTGGTATGTTTTTTGTGTTTGTGGCAGGAAATGTGCAGGAAAAGTGGCTGAAAAAGTGCTACTTCTAACCCTTTTGTACAGGAGGGGGTCGCAGTTCCGGAGCGATCCACTAGGTGTCCTCCTCCGACAACCTTAGGCACCTCCTCACTCACAGTCTGGACTAATCATGATCCTATTGGTGTCACCTGTGTCTACCTGTTCACCTGTGTATTTATGCCCTCACTTCCCTGTGTTCCCTTGCTAGTTTCTCGATGCCAAGCAGTACAAATCAGTGTCTTATCGCGAGACGTATGTACAGGTACTTGAGAAGTGTTGTTTCAGTCGTAGTTAGTATTTCGTGTTTTTGCTGTCAGCCTGTTTTTGGAGACCAATTTGCTCCTCCTTTATTTTATAATGACAAGTCTGTTATTTTGTATCCTGGCTTTGGGACCACCAGTAAAGATCCTTGTTTCTCTGCTTACTACCTACTGTCTATCCTGCACCGCACCTGGGTCACACCTCACACCAACCCTTACACCTTTAAAGCATTTTAAGTAAATAAAGGGAAATAGCGTACTAGGGAGTTGTCAGTAGATTGTTTTTTGTCGAGATAACTAATTCCAATTGAAAAGACAACTGACCTAACTAAAATACAGTGCATTCGGAAAGTGTTCAGACCACTTCACTTTTTCCACATTTTGTTACGTTACAGCCTTATTCTGAAATTGATTAAATTGTTTTTCCTCATCAATCTACACAAAATACCCCATAATGACAAAGCAAAAACAGGTTTTTAGAAATGTTTGCAAATGTATTAAAAATAAAAAACAGAATCTTGTTTCCATTGATCGTCCTTGAGAAGTTTGTATAACTTGATTGGAGTCCACCTGTGGTAAATTCAATTGACTGAACATGATATGGCAAGGCACACACTTGTCTATATAAGGTCCCACAGTTGACAGTGCATGTCAGAGCAAAAACCAAGCCATGAGGTCGAAGGAACTGTCCATAGAGCTCAGAGACAGGATTGTGTTGAGGCACAGATCTGGGGAAGTGTACCAAAACATTTCTGCAGCATTGAAGGTCCCAAGAACACAGTGGCCTCCATCATTCTTAAATGGAAGAAGTTTGGAACCACCAAGACTCTTCCTAGAGCTGGCCGCCCGGCCAAACTGAGTAATCGGGGGAGAGGGGCCTTGGTTAGGGAGGTGACCAAGAACCCAATGGTCACTCTGACAGAGCTCCAGAGTTCCTCTGTGGAGATTGGAGAACCTTCAAGGAGGACAACCATCTCTGCAGCATTCCACCAATCAGGCCTTTATGGTAGAGTGGCCAGACGGAAGCCACTCCGCAGTAAAACACACATGACAGCACGCTTGGAGTTTGCCAAACAGCACCTAAAGACTCAGACCATGAGAAACAAGATTCTCTGGTCTGATGAAACCAAGATTGAACTCTTTGGCCTGAATGTCAAGCGTCACGTCTGGAGGAAACCTGGCACCATCCCTACGGTGAAGCATGGTGGTTGCTGTGGGGATGTTTTTCAGCGGCAGGGACTGGGAGTCTAGTCAGGATCGAGGGAAAGATGAACAGAGCAAAGTACAGAGAGATCCTTGATGAAAACCTGCTCCAGTGCTCAGGACCTCAGACTGGGGTGAAGGTTCATCTTTCAACAGGACAACGACCCTAAGCACACAGCCAAGATAACGCAGGAGTGGCTACGGGACAAGTCTCTGAATGTCCTTGAGTGGCCCAGCCAGAGCCCGGACTTGAACCCGATCTAACATCTCTGGAGAGACCTGAAAATAGCTGTGCAGCGATGCTCCCCATCCAACCTGACAGAGCTTGAGAGGATCTGCAGAGAAGAATGGGAAAAACTCCCAAATACAGGTGTGCCAAGCTTGTGGCTTCATACCCAAGAAGACTTGAGGCTGTAATCGCTGCCAAAGGTGCTTCAACAAAGTACTGAGTAAAGGGTATGAATACTTATGTAAATGTCATATTTCAGTTTTGTAAGAAATGTGCAAAAAGTTCTAAAAACCTGTTTATGGTTTGTCATTATGGGTTATTGTGTATAGATTGATGAGGGGGGAAAAAACAATTTAATCAATTTTAGAATAAGGCTATAATGTAACAAATTGTGGAAAAAGTCAAGGGGTCTGAATACATTCCGAATGCACTGTAACTGAATGCGATGTTGCCATATAATCCTGCCTCTCATCTCATAAGACGTAATGGCAATTATGAAATAACTGCAGTTGACTGACTCTAAAGACAACAAGGAGGCATCTTATTTCAGACATTCAATGTCAGTGTTTCTTATCCTTGAGACTCAGAACACATTTATTTTGTTTTAGTAGCATTTAACAGCATCAAAGAGAGACAGTTCTTATTCACTCAAACCAGTGATGAGAGTTAAACTTTGTCGAATTGTGCTATCACACAATTAATTACTGCTGATTCTAATACATTTCCCTCATATTCCCATGTCCTGTTAGTCTGCGTAACTGCGTGACCCGTGGTGTCCTTACAGACTCTAGCCACCAGAGGGCAGGAGGGAACCTGCGTTACTTTGAGAAGCTGCTGTCCAAGCAGCTGAAGGAGCTGAACCAGGAGGGCCAGGAGCCAGCCACAGAGGAGCCCATCCAGCTGGGGACCTACAAGAGACCCAGTGACTACCTGCCTGAGAGGGAGATATACGAGGCCCTGTGCAGGGGAGAGGGAGTCAAAATGGTAAGAGACTGATTGTCTGAGATTCTTCAATGACAGTTGGTTAGGGGTAGTGGACAAAAAGTTAGATTTGCAATCTGTATGGCTATGCCTTGATAATATCAATCTAGAGAGGGCCATGATGAATAAGCTGTCAGAGTGGTGACAAGAATGAGGGACTGTTAGAGAGGGGCAGTGCTTAATTTGAGCTGGATCCTGCCGGAACAGGACCCGGCACCTCTTAGTTTTGGACTGTTTTGTTGTGGAACCCATTTTCTCATGGAATGAAAAATTATTTTCACTGTTGGCAATGTAAAAATTTGAATAAAACAAATCAGAGTTCAAATCAAGTTACCTTCTCTTTAATTCTCCTGTCCCCTAAAAAAACGAATGTGAAAACGTGCCTGATATTCTAAGAATTGATTCGTGTTGGGCCGGCCCGGGCAACATTGTAGCCTATAGACCAATGCGTGACAGTTCCTGAGAGAAGCGTGCACATGTATCTCTCACAGAACTAGAATGATATTCACTTTCTATGATCTCTCTCTGCTCTGATAGACATGAGCCTGCAACATTAATCTTTCCAGCTTTCTGATAGACATGAGCCTACAACATTCATCTCTCCAGCTTTCTGATAGACATGAGCCTGCAACATTCATCTCTCCAGCTTTCTGATAGACATGAGCCTGCAACATTCATCTCTCCAGCTTTCTGATAGACATGAGCCTGCAACATTCATCTCTCCAGCTTTCTGATAGACATGAGCCTGCAACATTCATCTCTCCAGCTTTCTGATAGACATGAGCCTACAACATTCATCTCTCCAGCTTTCTGATAGACATGAGCCTGCAACATTCATCTCTCCAGCTTTCTGATAGACACAAGCCTACAACATTCATCTCTCCAGCTTTCTGATAGACACGAGCCTACAACATTCATCTCTCCAGCTTTCTGATAGACACGAGCCTGCAACATTAATCTCTCCAGCTTTCTGATAGACACGAGCCTGCAACATTCATCTCTCCAGCTTTCTGATAGACACGAGCCTGCAACATTCATCTCTCCAGCTTTCTGATAGACACGAGCCTGCAACATTCATCTCTCCAGCTTTCTGATAGACATGAGCCTGCAACATTCACCTCTCCAGCTTTCTGATAGACATGAGCCTGCAACATTCATCTCTCCAGCTTTCTGATAGACATGAGCCTGCAACATTCATCTCTCCAGCTTTCTGATAGACATGAGCCTGCAACATTCATCTCTCCAGCTTTCTGATAGACATGAGCCTGCAACATTCATCTCTCCAGCTTTCTGATAGACATGAGCCTGTAACATTCATCTCTCCAGCTTTCTGATAGACATGAGCCTGCAACATTCATCTCTCCAGCTTTCTGATAGACATGAGCCTGCAACATTCATCTCTCCAGCTTTGCACCTTCATCAATAATTTCCTTATAGAATCATAGCCGTGGGAAGGGTGCTGGAGGCAGCGGTGGAAAAAGTACCCAATTGTCATACTTGAGTAAAAGTAAAGATACCTTAATAGAAAATGACTCAAGTAAAAGTGAAAGTCACCCAGTAAAATACTACTTGAGTAAAAGTATTTGGTTTTAAATATACTTAAGTCTAAAAAGTAAATGTAATTGCTCAAATATATTTAAGTATCAAAGTAAAAGTATAAATCATTTCAAATGTCTTATATTAAGCAAACCAGACGGCATAATTTATTTATTTATTTAGGGATAGCCAGGGGCACACTCCAACACTCAGACATCATTTACAAATGAAGCATGTGTGTTTAGTGAGTCCGCCAGATCAGAGGCAATAGGGAAGACCAGGGATGTTCGCTTGATAAGCGCGTGAATTGGACCATTTTCCTGTCCTGCTAAGCATTAAAAATGTAAGGAGTACTTTTGGGTGTCAGGGAAAATGTATGGAGTAAAAAGTACATTATTGTCTGTAGGAATGTAGTGAAGTAAAAGTAAAAGTAGTTAAAAATATAAATAGTAAAGTAAAGTACAGAAACCCCCCAAAAACGTCTTAAGTAGTACTTTCAAGTATTTTTACTAAAGTACTTTACACCACTGGCTGGAGGTGCTGCAGCACCCCTGATCAATTTAACTACATTTGCCAAAGTTATAAAATTACTTTCTGTCTGTTCAGAAATAAATTAAATAATTCAGAACACTACACCAGGAGTAGTCCTATAATTTAGCCACAGAGGATCAACAATAGCTTTTTTAAATTGTAATAGCCTAGCTGTGGATTGTGTGTAGCCCAATCACAAGGCATGCCTACAGTCGGGAATGCGCAGCAAATCTGTCAGTGAACAGCATGTAGCCAAAACAGGCCTTTCGCAATATTTGAAATACAATCGCAGGAAAAACAAATCTGTCTGTAGGCTACCAAATATGTTATCAACTTCCAAATAGGCCTATTGAGCGAAGAGCATTGTTTTAGAAAGTAAAACAAGAGAGATATAGGCTTTTGGCACGAGCGCATCTGCCATCGCTGGTGAGTGAGCTATGCATCATTAGGTGAGTCAGTGAAACTGGAAAGCTTTTTTAGGACTATCATTTCCTCCTCATATTGTACAATATGTGTGTCTCCACACACCTAGGTCTAGGCTACTGATGGATTCAAGACAAGGTCATTTTTATTGATCTGAGATTCTCAGTTTGTCAGTGTTAAAGTAGGCTGTAATTTACAGCATTTGTGAGGTATTAACAAATATTCTGCTAGTCTCCAGTCATCTAAAATTTGTAGAATTGCATGAAATGCGTTAATAAAAAGGTCCAATTTTTCTCTGACCCTAGGCTTACATTTTTTCTCCCCATGTGCACAACTTTTGCAAGCGCCTCTACTCTACTGCTCTATGCCAGTACGCAAGAGCGATGATATGCATGCAATGTTCAATTTTTTAATTTATGCGTTCCGGTACATCAGAACCACCCAGGTCACCCCCCTCTCAGCTCACTTTTTGTTCCAGCACCTCCCAATTGACAAATTAAGCACTGGAGAGGGGATGTGAGGTAGCTTAACAGGGTTTTGGAGATGAGATGTGAATTCCAGTATAACTCACACTCCCAACCCATTCCACCCTCCACCCCATCCAGACCACTGAGAGGCGCAGCCGGCTGTACTGCCGCTACCATGACGGGAACAGGAACCCTCGCCTGCTGCTCCAGCCCATGAAGGAGGAGGACGAGTGGGACAGCCCGCACATCGTCCGCTACCTCAACGCTCTGTCAGACCAGGAGATGGAGAAGATCAAGCAGCTGGCCAAGCCCAGGGTGAGAGGAGCAGCAAACTGGGCCAGCAAGCCCACTATAACCTTAGAATATCTCTATTAATAGATGGAATAATATACTGTATGTCTCAGTGGTAGTATTAAAACATTGTATCATAAGAGAGTGAATGTCTCAGGAACATAAGATGGTGTCAATATTAATTTATACTGTATATCTTTGTATAGCTTGCGAGAGCTACTGTTAGAGACCCTAAAACAGGCGTTCTGACCACAGCAAACTACAGGGTATCCAAAAGGTGAGTCATTATGGGTAAGCAGGGTTTTGGCACCCTCTGTAGATCATGTTTAGTTATGCCTCATTTCTGGGGAATGAGTCTTGTTGTTGTGGTGAGTCAGTGGATGTGTTGTCCTTCAGTGCGTGGCTGGAGGGGGAGGAGGACCCTGTTATTGAGCGCGTCAACCAAAGGATAGAGGACATCACAGGTCTGACAACGCAGACTGCCGAATTACTCCAGGTACAGATCACATACAGGTTCATTTCAATTTATCAGACGGTGCTGCAGCCCCCTCAGCACCCCTACTTCCCGCGGCTACGAGCCTACCTGGTAGACATAGATAACTATACATGCAGTCTTCCTGTTAGACAATTATATACTGTAGTGTACCTGTTACACTCATATCCATGTCCCGTGTAGCTCAGTTGGTAGAGCATGGCGCTTGCAATGCCAGGGTTGTGGGTTCGTTGCACTCACTAACTGTAAGTCACTCTGGATAAGAGCGTCTGCTAAATGACTAAAATGTAAATGTAAATATCAACATTGGGCATCATTTTCTGATGGTTTACTGTTAGAATACCCTTCTTCACTTTGTGAAACTTAGCTGATCGTTTTGTGTGAGTAGTTGTTAACTTCAGGGTCCCGTTTTTTCAAAAGTTATCTGATCGCATTACGGCAATCGGATTTGATTAAATGCATAGAAATAGAATGAATAGAGGGCATATCATTGACTTGAATGGGGACGCGTGTTCTGTTCATTCTATTTCTATGGCTTTAATCCTATCCGATTGAAGAAATCTGATCAGTTAACTTCTGAAAAACTAGGCCCAGAGGTTGTCCAATAACTTAGCTTCTACTCTTTGTCTCACTAAACAGATTGCTAACTATGGGGTCGGAGGACAATACGAGCCACATTTTGATTTCTCCAGGGTAAGGGTAATCTCGATACGGTGACTAAAGTGTGCTCTATGTTGCATCTGGGAAGGGATGCAACAGGCATGCAATCGTTGATCCTGCTGTGATCTATGGAGAAGTACGTTTTCACACATGAAGCCACACGCCACTTGCTTATGTTGTTTTCCTCCTTTACAATATACACTACCGTTCAAAGGTTTGGGGTCACTTAGAAATGTCCTTGTTTTCGAAAGAAAAGCAAATTTTTTGTCCATTAAAATAACATCAAATTGATCAGAAATACAATGTTGACATTGTTAATGTTGTAAATGGCTACTGTAGCTGGAAACATCAGATTTTTTATGGAATATCTACATAGGCATAGCAACCATCAGTCCTGTGTTCCAATGGCACGTTGTGTTTGCTAATCCAAGTTTATCATTTTAAAAGGCTAATTGATCATTAGAAAACCCTTTTGCAATTATGTTAGCACAGCTGAAAACTGTTGTGCTGATTAAAGAAGCAATAAAACTGGCCTTCTTGAGACTAGTTGAGTATCTGGAGCATCAGCAATTGTGGGTTTGATTACAGGCTCAAAATGGCCAGAAACAAATAACTTTCTTCTGAAACTCGTCAGTCTATTCTAGTTCTGAGAAATGAAGGCTATTCCATGCGAGAAATTGCCAAGAAACTGAAGATCTCGTACAACGCTGTGTACTACTCCCTTCACAGAACAGCGCAAACTGGCTCTAACCAGAATAGAAAGAGGAGTGGGAGGCCCGGTGCACAACTGAGCAAGAGGACAAATACATTAGTGTCTAGTTTGAGAAACTTTTGAACGGTAGTGTATGTTGACCCGTGATAAAAAAGAAATTAGCGCTGCACATTTAGCTGTCAACGGGCAAGACGGTGTGTAAGACCAATGGGGACCTCTAAAGTTAGGGGGATTCTGGCTCTCACCCACTGCTAGAGGCTGCATCCCAAATGGCAACCTATTCCCTATGTAGTGCACTATACAGTAAAGGGAATACAGTGCCATTTGTGGTGCAGATAGAATGGTGTGTATCCAAGAGGGGCCCTGAATTCCTATATGGCAGATTGCCAAAGGAGACCTAGATGACGGGTTGAGTCACAGTTGAATCATGTCCATAACCCCGAGGGTATATTCCAAGAAGGAGAATAACTCAGAGGTCATATTCCTAGAAGAAGAGTTTCTAAGACCAATATGTACAGATATATTGGCATCCTTGCATTTTACAATGGAGTGCAATGGAGCAGAATGTTCTGTTTTCTCTTTTCAAAACTGGTTGAATGCTATTTTTACCCTGTAGGCACCTGCAACTTACCACAGGTGAGATAAATTACACCGTAAACGAGAAACGTTACCTCTAACCAAATTAATTTGAATTTTATCAAATTTTGTCCAGGACATTTTTGTATTTGAAGTGAATAATCTCAATTTCAGTTTAGATTTTATACACGTGTAAACAAATACACGTGCACACAAAGTTCTCAAATTCAACATATTTGAGAATAAATAGTGAATCATGTTTTGAAGTTGTTGACATGTAGATCACAGCATGATGAAGATTGCATTTTGAACCTTGGGGACACTAAGGTTTTATATTCAGTTAGAATGTTTCTTCTGCCTGGAAGAGTTCAGGCTGCATGCAAGATGCCCAGGGCCACAACCCAGTGGTAGACAGTAGCTCTACTGATTCATAGTGCAGTGGTAGACAGTAATTCTACTGATTCTTAGTGCAGTGGTAGACAGTAGCTCTACTGATTCTTAGTGCAGTGGTATACAGTAGCTCTACTGATTCTTAGTGCAGTGGTAGACAGTAGCTCTACTGATTCTTAGTGCAGTGGTAGACAGTAGCTCTACTGATTCTTAGTGGCACCCAGGGGAAGTGCACAACGTAGCAATTGGACTACATTAACATATATCCAGTTAATCTAATATATACAGTGAGGGGAAAAGGTATTTGATCCCCTGCTGATTTTGTACATTTGCCCACTGACAAAGAAATGATCAGTCTATAATTTTAATTGTAGGTTTATTTGAACAGTAAGAAACAGAATAACAACAAAAATATCCAGAAAAACGCATGTCAAAAATGTTATAAATTGATTTGCATTTTAATGAGGGAAATAAGTATTTGACCCCCTCTCAATCAGAAAGATTTCTGGCTCCCAGGTGTCTTTTATACAGGTAACAAGCTGAGATTAGGAGCACACTCTTAAAGTGAGTGCTCCTAATCTCAGCTTGTTACCTGTATAAAAGACACCTGTCCACAGAAGCAATCAATCAATCAGATTCCAAACTCTCCACCATGGCCAAGACCAAAGAGCTCTCCAAGGATGTCAGGGACAAGATTGTGGACATACACAAGGCTGGAATGGTTTACAAGACCATCGCCAAGCAGCTTGGTGAGAAGGTGACAACAGTTGGTTCGATTATTCGCAAATGGAAGAAACACAAAATAACTGTCAATCTCCCTCGGCCTGGGGCTCCATGCAAGATCTCACCTCGTGGAGTTGCAATGATCATGAGAACGGTGAGGAATCAGCCCAGAACTACACGGGAAGATCTTGTCAATGATCTCAAGGCAGCTGGGACCATAGTCACCAAGAAAACAATTGGTAACACACTACGCCGTGAAGGACTGAAATCCTGCAGCGCCTGCAAGGTCCCCCTGCTCAAGAAAGCACATATACAGGGCCGTCTGAAGTTTGCCAATGAACATCTGAATGATTCAGAGGAGAACTGGGTGAAAGTGTTGTGGTCAGATGAGACCAAAATCGAGCTCTTTGGCATCAACTCAACTCGCCGTGTTTGGAGGAGGAGGAAAGCTGCCTATGACCCCAAGAACACCATCCCCACCGTCAAACATGGAGGTGGAAACATTATGCTTTGGGGGTGTTTTTCTGATAAGGGGACAGGACAACTTTACCGCATCAAAGGGACGATGGACAAGGCCATGTACCGTCAAATCTTGGGTGAGAACCTCCTTCCCTCAGCCAGGGCATTGAAAATTGGTCGTGGATGGGTATTCCAGCATGACAATGACCCAAAACACACGGCCAAGGCAACAAAGGAGTGGCTCAAGAAGAAGCACATTAAGGTCCTGGAGTGGCCTAGCCAGTCTCCAGACCTTAATCCCATAGAAAATCTGTGGAGGGAGTTGAAGGTTCGAGTTGCCAAACGTCAGCCTCGAAACCTTATTGACTTGGAGAAGATCTGCAAAGAGGAGTGGGACAAAATCCCTCCTGAGATGTGTGCAAACCTGGTGGCCAACTACAAGAAACGTCTGACCTCTGTGATTGTCATCAAGTCATGTTTTGCAGAGGGGTCAAATACTTATTTCCCTCATTTAAAATGCAAATCAATTTATAACATTTTTGACATGCGTTTTTCTGGATTTTGTTGTTGTTATTCTGTCTCTCACTGTTCAAATAAACCTACCATTAAAATTATAGACTGATCATGTCTTTGTCAGTGGGCAAACGTACAAAATCAGCAGGGGATCAAATACATTTTTCCCTCACTGTAATCAAAGGATTCAATAGTAGATTATATTTAATATACTAAATATTCAATTGTTGCTAATTTTTTGTGAAATTAGTCATTATATCTCACTGATTTTCAATAACCACGTTAAGTCAAACAGATATTAACAATCAATTTGGTCACAGAGGATTTCTTTAGTGCACTTAGGTGGCGGGATCCTAGAGCCATTTTAGTCTGGGTTAAAAGTTATAAACATTTGTTGCAGCGTCCTCAGGACATCATGGTCGATGGAAATAGACTTGCTACCTTCCTGAACTACGTAAGTACATGTCTCTGTGTGTATTCAACTTGTGTTTTACTTCATAGAAAGAGGAGCCTGATGCTTTCAAAACATTAGGCACTGGAAATCGTGTGGCTACTTTTTTAAATTACGTAAGTATACGTATCCAGTTGCTGCTGTCACTTTACAGTAGCAGCTACTGATTTAGGGCTCTATTCATCTTTACAGCGTGATTGATATTTAAAGGGAATGTTCCCGCTTTAGCGGAGACTGCATTCACGGTGAACGCTGCATGTCGGCTCATTCGGAATCACCTTTACATTTCTATTGTATAATCTGTAATGCTTCAGCTTTACAGATTGAATAGAGCCTTTAGATTCTTCTTTGTGTGTCTCTGTTTTGCGTAATGATTGTTTTTGGAAGATCCATGACCGCCACTTCAATATTGGACATGGGAATGTCAATCAGTGTTACCGCATACTCATAAAATCACTGGCCATGTCCGAATACCCATACTAGTGTGCTACATACTTAAACTGCATACTATGTACTCATCGTCGCATGCTATTTAACACGTACCGGTTAGTAAAAAGTATGCAGTATGCCACGGCCGCAACGCAGTAGCGACTCCTGACTGGCTGAGTAGGTGGGGCGGAACTGAGTGCGGGTGGATTTTCTTACAAATTCAACAGACATGCATTGCATTAACCAGCCTGATAATACTTCATTTCCAATACGATTAATTTTTCTAAACTCTGAAAGGAATAGGAATGGAGTTATAGGCTTACACAGGCTGGTTATAGCCAGACTATCACATTCAAACTATACCTTAGTGTAAAAAATTGATCAGAGTTGTGGTTGTAAAAATACTTTATCTTGCTTTAATTGTTGGTTTGAGTTAGGGCTATCATGGTGGTGTCCATTAAAACACAGAGATGGTGGTTTGCAGTTCGAAGGGCTGTTGCCCGGTTTATTATTTCAGTTGAATTGTTGAAGATAATGACGGATAAGGTTGTATATAGGTCCTGGATGGCAGGAAGCTTGGCCCCAGTGATGTACTGGGCCTTACGCACTACCCTCTGCAGTGCCTTACGGTCAGATGCCGAGCAGTTGCCATACCAGGAGCTGATGCAACCGTTCAGGATGCTCTCAATGGTGCAGCTGTATAACTTTTTGAGGATCTGGGGACCCATGCCAAATCTTTGCAGTCTCCTGAGGGGGAAAAGGTGTTGTTGTGCCCTCTTCACGACCATGATAGTTTGTTGGTGATGTGGACATGTGTATTAGTGAAACCAAAGTGCTGTAACATATATACACTACCGTTCAAAAGTTTGGGGTCACTTAGAAATGTCCTTGTTTTCGAAAGAAAAGCAATTTTGTTGTCCATTAAAATAACATCAAATTGATCAGAAATACAGTGTAGACATTGTTAATGTTGTAAATGGCTATTGTAGCTGGAAACGGCAGATTTTTTATGGAATATCTACATAGGTGTACAGAGGCCCATTATCAGCAACCATCTGTGTTCCAATGGTACGTTGTGTTTGCTAATCCAAGTTTATCATTTTAAAAGGCTAATTGATCATTAGAAAACCCTTTTGCAATTATGTTAGCACAGCTGAAAACTGTTGTGCTGATTAAAGAAGCAATAAAACGGTCCTTCTTGAGACTAGTTGAGTATCTGGAGCATCAGCAATTGTAGGTTCAATGAGAAATTAAGGCTATTCCATGCGAGAAATTGCCAGCATAGAAAGAGGAGTGGGAGGCCCAGGTGCACAACTGAGCAAGAGGACAAATACATTAGAGTGTCTAGTTTGAGAAACAGATGCCTCACAGGTCCTCAACTGGCAGCTTCATTAAATAGTACCCGCAAAACACCAGTCTCAATGTCAACAGTGAAGAAGCGACTCCGGGATACTGACCTTCTAGGCAGAGTTGCAAAGAAAAAGCTATTTCTCAGACTGGCCAATAAAAAGAAAAGATTAAGATGGGCAGTCTGAGATATGGCTTTTTCACACAGGGGACTGTGTGAACCACTACTAAAGGACACCAATAAGAAGAAGAGACCTGCTTGGGCCAAGAAACACGAGCAATAGACATTAGACCGGTGGGAATTTGTCCTTTGGTCTGTAGTCCAAATGGGAGATTTTTGGTCCCAACTGCCGTGTCATTGTGAGACGCGGTGTGGGTGAACGGATGATCTCTGCATGTGTATTTCCCACCGTAAAGCATGGAGGAGGAGGTTTTATTGTGTGGGGGTGCTTTGCTGGTGAAAGTGTCAGTGATTTATTTAGAATTGAAGGCAAACTTAACCAGCATGGCTACGACAGCATTCTACAGCGATACACCATCCCATCTGGTTTGGGCTTAGTGGGACTATCATTTGCTTTTCAACAGGACAATGACCCAACACACCTCCAGGCTGTGTAAGGGCTATTTTACCAAGAAGGAGAGTGATGGAGTGCTGCATCAGATAACCTGGCCTCCACAATCCCCTAACCTGAACCCAATTGAGATGGTTTGGGATGAGTCGGACCGCAGAGTGAAGGAAAAGCAGCCAACAAGAGCTCAGCATTTGTGGGAACTCCTTCAAGACTGTTGGAACAGCGTTCCAGGTGAAGCTGGTTGAGAGAATGTCAAGAGTGTGCAAAGCTGTCATCAAGGCAAAGGGTGGCTATTTGAAGAATCTCAAATATAAAATATATTTTCTGGCTACTACATGATTCCATATGTGTTATTTCATCATTTTGATGTTTTCACTATTATTCTACAATGTAAGAAATAGTCAAAATAAAGAAAAACCCTTGAATTAGTAGGTGTGTCCAAAGTTTTGACAGGTCGTGTACTATAAAACATTATATTTTCGCATATTGAGAATGCGTCATGAGCAATTGTGTTATTTCCGACTGTTCGTTGAGTATCTAATTGATCAGCTGTTGTCAAAGCTGAAATTAGTATGATATCCGGACATTTATTGTATACTCGATTTTCGAAATGCTGCATACTATTAAACTTTCGTTTTTCGCATACTCAAACGGTCTTCTATTTAGGACGCAAGTATTGGTATTCAGACACGACCACTAACATTGCTACAGTAGATGGTGGTGGGAAAAAAAAGTTTGTCAAACACTGGAAATTCACCCTTGGAGTCTGTCAGTTAATTTCAGTGTTGTACCCACTAAACCATAACATTGGATCTCATGTATTGGTCCATGCTAGTACTGTATGTATGATGTGTGTGTGCAAATAGAGGCAGAATGCCATGCTTTGCATAACTACAGTGCTTTTGGACGACTAATTTTTATACTGCACTTATGTCTAGTTGAATGACTGGCTCCTATGGATTTGGTGTTGTTATGTTTAGTGTTATTAAACAATGTTGTCATCATTTCAAGACATTCAAGACCCTTCTTCAGACCTTCAGTAATCTTTAAATTTCTACAGATAAATGTTTATGACATGGAAACTATCATTTGTATGATTACGCCTGTTATAAAACTGTTCGTGTAAATACAGCACACATCCCTTAGAGAAGTAGGCTACAGTAAATGGTATTAGGTGGAGTACTTCAGTGTATTAGTGAAGCCAGCTCACAAGGCTGTCCTTTCCCTGGCAGATGAGTGATGTTGAAGCTGGAGGAGCGACTGTGTTCCCAGACTTTGGAGCAGCTATCTATCCCAAAAAGGTGAGAGATAAAACATTTAACTGCTCTCACACAAGCACAGCCCTCAGCACTAGGGGCCAGGAAAAACTATTGGTCAAGTCACATGGTCAGAGAAATCTCCTAGACTTAGTCATCATACAACGTTAGCCTTGGTTGAGAGGGCCCGAACTATCTTATTTATAGTGAGCCATTACGTCGATGCAGTGGTGACTTGCATGTACTGAACAGGGTATGTCTCCTCAATGTGTGTCCACAGGGAACTGCAGTCTTCTGGTACAACCTCTTTAGGAGCGGAGAGGGAGATTACAGGACCAGACACGCTGCCTGTCCTGTGTTAGTAGGAAGTAAATGGGGTGAGTCGGATGGAGAGTTTAATCCAAACACACAAGCAGCCTCTCTAATCTCAATCTGTTTATTGGTGTCAGTCATTTGATGTGTTTCTTTGACTACTTCCTAGTAAGTCTTCATTGTGTTTCTCTATTGTATCTCTCACGTAGGCTGCAATGTTGCCGCAGTGTTTTTGTTAACGAACTTCTGCTTGCACATACACTTACTTTGATAATAGGAAGCCTCTAACTGTGGGGGAGTCTTCCTGGTAGTAGTAGGTTTTAACAGAGCCCTAAACCATGTTTCCACTGGCACTTTGAATTAAGGCCAAATTAGGGCTAAATTCGAGCTAGCTCGAATGGAATTCTCAAATTCGAGCTGGGTCGAGGTTAGGTTCATATATATTTTTTTTTACATTGTATTCTGAACCTAGGATGGCGGGAAACCCGGGCCAGCATAGACCAGTTTCACAGCCCAGTTTTACTATGCAACTGCCAGCTGATCACCACTGGATGCTGACACCACGTTTAGCTAGGTTGACTGGGCTTGTTGCGGACTGTTAGCTATCACATGGGCAAGCAGTACTGCAGTAGTCAGACATGACACAAATTACCACCATAGCTGGATCCTTGATTTATTTTTGCACTACACAAAGAATATCCTACAGACACCCGACAAGGCCCAAATCCCCGTCATTCGCATGAGGAAGAGACGGAGATATCGTGGACGTAGGTCGGGGTGCCTTGTAAGGATCCGACGGCGAGCGAGTAAACTGCTGCTCCCATCAATCCTATTAGCCAAACTTCAATCATTGGAAAATAAATTGGATGACCTAAGATTACGGTTATCCTACCAACGGGACATTAAAAACTGTAATATCTTATGTTTCACCGAGTCGTGGCTGAACGACGACATGGATAACATACAGCTAGCGGGCTATATGCTCCGGCAGGGTAGAACGGCTGACTCCGGTAAGACAAGGGGTAGCGGTCTATGTATATTTGTAAACAACAGCTGGTGCACAAACTCAAATACTAAGGAAGTCTCGAGGTTTTGCTCGCCTGAGGTAGAGTATCTTATGATAAACTGTAGACCACACTATTTACCAAGAGAGTTTTCATCTATATTTTTCATAGCTGTCTATTTACCACCACAAACCAATGCTGGCATTAAGATTGCACTGAATGAGCTGTATAAGGCCATAAGTCAACAGGAAAATGCTCATCCAGAGGCAGCGCTCCTAGTGGCCGGGGACTTTAATGCAGGGAAACTTAAATCCGTTCTACCTAATTTCTACCAGCATGTTAAATGTGCAACCAGAGGAAAAAAACTCTAGACCACCTTTACTCCACAGACAGAGACGCATACAAAGCTCTCCCTCGCCCTCCATTTGGCAAATCTGACCATAACTCTATCCTCCTGATTCCTGCTTATTAGCAAAAACTAAAGTAGGAAGCACCAGTGACTCGGTTAATAAAAAAGTGGTCAGATGACGCAGATGCTAAGCTGCAGGACTGTTTTGCCAGCACAGACTGGAACATGTTCCGGGATTCTTCAGATAGCATTGAGGAGTACACCACATCAGTCACTGGCTTCATCAATAAGTGCATCAATGATGTCGTCCCCACAGTGACCGTACGTACATACCCCAACCAGAAGCCATGGATTACAGGAAACATCCGCACTGAGCTAAAGGGTAGAGCTGCCGCTTTCAAGGAGCGGGACTCTAACCCGGACGCTTATAAGAAATCCCGCTATGCCCTCCGACGAACCATCAAACAGCCAGAGTCAATACAGGACTAAGATTGAATCGTACTACACCGGCTCTGACGCTCGTCGGATGTGGCAGGGCTTGAAAACTATTATAGACTACAAAGGGAAGCACAGCCGCGAGCTTCCCAGTGACACAAGCCTACCAGACGAGCTAAACCACTTCTATGCTCGCTTCGAGGCAAGCAACACTGAAGCATGCATGAGACCACCAGCTGTTCTGGATGACTATGTGATCAAGCTCTCCGTAGCCGATGTGAGTAAGACCTTTAAGCAGGTCAACATTCACAAGGCCGCAGGGCCAGACGGATTACCAGGACGTGTACTCCGAACATGTGCTGACCAACTGGCAAGTGTCTTCACTGACATTTTCAACATGTCCCTGACTGAGTCTGTAATACCAACATGTTTCAAGCAGACCACCATAGTCCCCGTGCCCAAGGACACTAAGATAACCTGCCTAAATGACTACCGACCCGTAGCACTGACGTCTGTGGCCATGAAGTGCTTTGAAAGGCTGGTCATGGCTCACATCAACACCATTATCCCAGAAACCCTAGACCCACTCCAATTTGCATACCGCCCCAACAGATCCACAGATGATGCAATCTCTATTGCACTCCACACTGCCCTTTCCCACCTGGACAAGAGGAACACCTACGTTAGAATACTATTCATTGACTACAGCTCAGCATTCAACACCATAGTGCCCTCAAAGCTCATCACTAAGTTAAGGATCCTGGGACTAAACACCTCCCTCTGCAACTGGATCCTGGACTTCCTGACGGGCCGCCCCCAGGTGGTAAGGGTAGGTAACAACACATCTGCCACACTGATCCTCAACACGGGGGCCCCTCAGGGGTGCGTGCTCAGTGTTCTCCTGTACTCCCTGTTCACCCATGACTGCATGGCCAGGCACGACTCCAACACCATCATTAAGTTTGCCGACGACACAACAGTGGTAGGCCTGATCACCGACAACGATGAGACAGCCTATAGGGAGGAGGTCAGAGACCTGGCCGTGTGGTGCCAGGATAACAACCTCTCCCTCAACGTGACCAAGACAAATGAGATGATTGTGGACTACAGGAAAAATAATAGGACTGAGCACGCCCCCATTCTCATCTACGGGGCTGTAGTGTAACAGGTTGAGAGCTTCAAGTTCCTTGATGTCCACATCACCAAAGAACTATCATGGTCCAAACACACCAAGACAGTCGTGAAGAGGGCACGACAAAGCCTATTCCCCCTCAGGAGACTGAAAAGATTCGGCATGGGTCCTCAGATCCTCAAAAAATTATACAGCTGCACCATCGAGAGCATCCTGACTGGTTGCATCTCTGCCTGGTATGGCAACTGCTTGGCCTCCGACCGCAAGGCACTACAGAGGGTAGTGCGTACGGCCCAGTACATCACTGGGGCCAAGCTTCCTGCCATCCAGGACCTCTATACCAGGCGGTGTCAGAGGAAGGCCCTCAAAATTGTCAAAGACTCCAGCCACCCTAGTCATAGACTGTTCTCTTGCTACCGCACGGCAAGCGGTACCGGAGTGCCAAGTCTAGGTCCAAAAGACTTCTCAACAGCTTCTACCCCCAAGCCATAAGACTCCTGAACAGCTAATCGTGGCTACCCGGACTATTTGCACTGCCCCCCCACCCCATCTATTTACGCTGCTGCTACTCTGTTAAATATTAATGCATAGTCACTTTAACTCTACCCACATGTACATATTACTTCAACTACCTCAACTAGCCGGTGCCCCCGCACATTGACTCTGCACCGGTACCCCCTGTATATACAGTGGGGAAAAAAAGTATTTAGTCAGCCACCAATTGTGCATGTTCTCCCACTTAAAAAGATGAGAGAGGCCTGTAATTTTCATCATAGGTACACGTCAACTATGACAGACAAATTGAGAAAAGAAATTCCAGAAAATCACATTGTAGGATTTTTAATGAATTTATTTGCAAATTATGGTGGAAAATAAGTATTTGGTCACCTACAAACAACCAAGATTTCTGGCTCTCACAGACCTGTAACTTCTTCTTTAAGAGGCTCCTCTGTCATCCACTCGTTACCTGTATTAATGGCACCTGTTTGAACTTGTTATCAGTATAAAAGACACCTGTCCACAACCTCAAACAGTCACACTCCAAACTCCACTATGGCCAAGACCAAAGAGCTGTCAAAGAACACCAGAAACAAAATTGTAGACCTGCACCAGGCTGGGAAGACTGAATCTGCAATAGGTAAGCAGCTTGGTTTGAAGAAATCAACTGTGGGAGCAATTATTAGGAAATGGAAGACATACAAGACCACTGATAATCTCCCTCGATCTGGGGCTCCACGCAAGATCTCACCCCGTGGGGTCAAAATTATCACAAGAATGGTGAGCAAAAATCCCAGAACCACACAGTGGGACCTAGTGAATGACCTGCAGAGAGCTGGGACCAAAGTAACAAAGCCTACCATCAGTAACACACTACGCCGCCAGGGACTCAAATCCTGCAGTGCTAGACGTGTCCCCCTGCTTAAGCCAGTACATGTCCAGGCCCGTCTGAAGTTTGCTAGAGTGCATTTGGATGATCCAGAAGAGGATTGGGAGAATGTCATATGGTCAGATGAAACCAAAATATAACTTTTTGGTAAAAACTCAACTCGTCGTGTTTGGAGGACAAAGAATGCTGAGTTGCATCCAAAGAACAACATACCTACTGTGAAGCATGGGGGTGGAAACATCATGCTTTGGGGCTGTTTTTCTGCAAAGGGACCAGGATGACTGATCCGTATAAAGGAAAGAATGAATGGGGCCATGTATCGTGAGATTTTGAGTGAAAACCTCCTTCCATCAGCAAGGGCATTGAAGATGAAACGTGGCTGGGTCTTTCAGCATGACAATGATCCCAAACACACCGCCCGGGCAACGAAGGAGTGGCTTCGTAAGAAGCATTTCAAGGTCCTGGAGTGGCCTAGCCAGTCCCCAGATCTCAACCCCATAGAAAATCTTTGGAGGGAGTTGAAAGTCCGTGTTGCCCAGCGACAGCCCCAAAACATCACTGCTCTAGAGGAGATCTGCATGGAGGAATGGGCCAAAATACCAGCAACAGTGTGTGAAAACCTTGTGAAGACTTACAGAAAACGTTTGACCTGTGTCATTGCCAACAAAGGGTATATAACAAAGTATTGAGAAACTTTTGTTATTGACCAAATACTTATTTTCCACCATAATTTGCAAATAAATTCATTAAAAATCCTACAATGTGATATTCTGGATTTTTTCTCATTTTGTCTGTCATAGTTGACGTGTACCTATGATGAAAATTACAGGCCTCTCTCATCTTTTTAAGTGGGAGAACTTGCACAATTGGTGGCTGACTAAATACTTTTTTTCCCCACTGTATAGCCTCCCTACTGTTATTTTATTTTACTTCTGCTCTTTTTTTCTCAACACTTTTTTTGTTGTTGTTTTATTTTACTTTTTTATTAAAAATAAATGCACTGTTGGTTAAGGGCTGTAAGTAAGCATTTCACTGTAATGTCTGCACCTGTTGTATTCGGCGCATGTGGCCAATACAATTTGATTTGATTTGAGAACAGTCATCCCTCGAATGATAGCTATCTAACGTTAGCTAACATTAGCTTGCAAATCAGAGTTGAAACAAGCTAAATCAAATCAAATTGTATTTGTCACATACACGTGTTTAGCAGATGTTATTGCGGGTGTAGTGAAATGCTTGTGCTTCTAGCTCCGACAGTGCAGTAATATCTAACAAGTAATATCTAACAATTTCACAACATATACCCAATACACACAAATCTAAGTAAGGAATGGAATTTAAGAATATATGCATATGAACAAGCAATGACAGAGCGGCATGGACTAAGATACAGTAGAATATTATAGAATACAGTATATACATATGAGATGAGTAGTGCAAGATATGTAAACATTATTAAAGTGACTAGTGTTCCATTTCTTAAAGTGGCCAGTGATTTCAATAGGCAGCAGCAGCCTCTAATGTGCTAGTGATGTCTGTTTAACAGTCTGATGGCCTTGAGATAGAAGCTGTTTTTCATTCTCTCGGTCTAACGTGAGCTAGCGTGAATTTTAGCTGGCGAGGTTCTATTGAAACTTGTCGTCTGGTTTGCTTGGTTAGCTAGCTCTGTTATTATTTCAATTTCTTGTGTGTTTTTATTCTACTTTATTGTATAATACTATATATTGATTACTGCATTGTTGGGAAAAGAGTATGCAAGAAAGGAATAACTGTACTCGTGCACGTGACAATAAAACTTAAAAACTTGGAGTCTTTCTGTTAGTAGTAGGTTTTAACCGAGCCCTTAGTCTCACACATCGGAGAGAATTGAGACTGGCACTGACATTTTGTATTTCTCTGTGTTGCCAGTGTCCAACAAATGGATCCATGAGCGAGGTCAAGAGTTCAGGAGGCCATGTGGCCTGACAGAAGTGGACTGAACCAAACCTTTCACCACTGACCCCAGACTGGAGGAGTACACTCTACCTACAGTGTATGAACATTTGATTGATCTCTCTCACACAGACACACACACCCCTACTGTGGTATGCATTCTGGTTTTTAACAATGAGCTGAGTCTTGGGACTCTTCAGTACCTATGTAGATAAAGGGAGGTGGATATGTGAATATAGGTATATGGCATTAAAGACTCTAATTTCTTGTTTTGTTTACTTGTTTGTTTAGCATTGATTTATCAAAAAATTACAAAAAAATGATGGCACAACCCTATGAGAACTTACTGCTTTCAGTCCACTACATTAGACTGCTTAAATTATTTCACTGTATGATTGACTTTTTTTTTTTATTCGGAAAATATCAAGCACAATAATCTGTATTTTATTAAAGTCCCAATGCAGTCTTTTAAAATGTATTTTGTATTATTTTTTTGTCAAAAAATCTCAGTGAGCCTCCTTGGGACACTGAAATGCTCAGTCCGACTGTGTACATGGGGATACAAATTTGAATATATTTACATACAGGACTGATTGGCTGATAGAATCGTGAAGAGCCCACCCCCTTACCCGTTCAAAAAAACAAAGGCACATGGTATTCAACCTGTCAGTTGGAGCTGGACCCTGAAAGACAAAACTTCCATAGCTGTGTAGGCTACTTTGTTTTGTCATCAAAACAAAAGGCATACATCACACATCTTAATTTGCTATATCATTGTTGTACTGTTTTCAATAGGTCAGCAGAAGATGCAGGACCAGAAATATGTAATGTGTGGAGCATTTAATAAATAAATAAAATGTAGGCTTAATATAGTACTTCAAACCAAATAAATTGTAATTTCCCCCCTCCCCCGGCTCACTCTCGGCGTGCCTCACTCCAGTTGTAGCCAGTCACTTGCCTAAGGTGCATGCGGAGACATGCACAATTGCACATGTCAATATCGTGAATTCATCAGTAAGTAGAAGGGCTGCCTTTGTAGCCAAAATCTCCTGTGGTACTTATCAGCTGTGTGTGTACTGTGTAGGCAGTCTCCTAGCGCTGAGCAGCAGCCAAATGGAGCAGTTGCTATGGCTACACAGAGTAATGTGTGGCACATTAAATTTTTTGGGTAGGTCTAAAAGTTGTTAGTTTACTTAGTCAATAAACACATGTAATGTGTTGTCCCATGTTTCATGAGCTGAAATAAAATAACAGAAATTCTCTACACACACAAAAAGCGTATTTCTCAATTTTAGTGAGCATTTTTCCTTTGCCAAGATAATACAGCCACCTGATAGGTGTGGCATATCAAGAAGTTTGTGCTGGGGGAACAATAAACGGCCACTAAATTGTGCAGAAATGTCTAAAAACCTGTTTTTGCTTTTTCATTATGGGGGAAACCAACTCCATATTAATGCCCATGATTTTGGAATGAGCTGTTCGATGAGCAGGTGTACACATACTTTTGGTCATTTAATCTGTGCTTCAGAACCAAAAGGTGCACGTCTTGACCGTTGACCAATGACCTGTCATCAGCATTGGCGCGCAAAGGCTGGCACACATATCCTAATTAGTGACCAGAAAGCGCTTGTTTAATTTCCTCTGGTTTTTCCTGGCAAAAATATATTTTATTATTTGTTATTGTTGTTACATTGTCGAGAAGCAACCTGCTAGTAAGCATTTCGTTGGACGATGTATACAATGCATATAGGTGCATGAATTGGACCATATTGCTGTACAACATTTGGGCGTCAGGGAAAATGTATGGGAGTAAAAAGTACATATTTTCTTTAGGAATGTAGTGGAGTAAAAGTAAAAGTTGCCAAAAATATAAATAGTAAAGTACAGATAACCCTAAAAAACTACTTAAGTTATACTTTAAAGTAGTTTTACTTAAGTACTTTACACCAATGGATTTCATTGAATTTTTGATCAACGATCTACACAAAATACTCTGTAATGTCAAAGTGGGAGAAAAAGTATAACATTTGTAAAAAAATATATATATCTATATGAAAAATAAAACACTAACATATCTTTATTAGATAAGTATTCAACCCACTGAGCTAATACATGTTAGAATCACCTTTGGCAGTGATTACAGCTGTGAGTCTTTCTCGATAAGTGTCTAAGAACCTTCCACACCTGGATTGTGCAACATTTGCCCATTATTATTTTCAAAATTCTTCAAGCTCTGTCAAATTGGTTGTTGATCATTGCTAGACAACCATTTTCAGGTCTTGCCATAGATTTTCTGGAACGTTCACTCTCTTCTTGGTGAGCAACTCCAGTGTAGATTTGTCCTGCTGAAAGGTGAATTTGTCTCCCAGTGTGTGATGGAAAGCAGACTGAACCAGTTTTTCCTCTAGGATTTTGCCTGTGCTTAGCTCCATTCCGTTTATTTTTAATCCTGAAAAACTCCCCAGTCCTTAACGTACAAGCATACCCATAACATGATGCAGCCACCACTATGCTTGGAAATATGGAGAGTGGTACTCAGTAATGTGTTGTATTGGATTTGCCCCAAACATAAGACTTTGTATTCAGGACAAAAAGTGAATTGCCTTGCCCCATTTTCTGCAGTATTACTTTAGTGCCTTGTTGCAAACATGATGCATGTTTTGGAATATTTTTATTCTGTACAGTCTTCCTTCTTTTTACTCTGTCAATTAGGTTAGTATTGTGGAGTAACTACAATGTTGTTGCTCCATCCTCAGTTTTCTCCTATCACAGCCATTGAACTCTGTAACTGTTTAAAGGTCACCATTGGTGAAATCCCTGAGCTGTTTCCTTCCTCTCCGGCAACTAAGTTAGGAAGGACGCCTGTATCTTTGTAGTGACTGGGTGTATTGATACACCATCCAAAGTGTAATCAATAACTTCATGATGCGCAGAGGGATATTCAATGTCTGCTTTTTAAAATTGTTTACTGATCTACCAATAGGTGCCCTTCTTTGCGAGGCATTGGAAAACCTCCCTGGTCTTTGTGGTTGAATCTGTGTTTGAAATTCACTGCCCAACTGAGGGACCTTACAGATAATTGTATGTGTGGCGTACAGAGATGAGGTAGTCATTAAAAAATCATGTTATTAAACACCATTATTGCACACAGAGTGAGTCCATGCAACTTAATATGACTTGTTAAGCAAATGTTTACTCCTGAACATATTCAGGCTTGCCATAACAAAGGGGTTGAATACTTATTGACTGAAGACATTTCATTTTTTAATTTTTTCTTAATTTGAAAAAAGAAATGAAAAACATAATTCCACTTTGACATTATGAGGTATTGTGTGTAGGCCAGTGACACAAATTCTCAATATAATAAATGTACAATTCAGGCTTTAACTCAACAAAATGTGGAAAAAGTCAAGGGGTGTGAATACTTTCTGAAGGCACTGTATATGTAGCTACAGTCCCGGAAATCCACTCCAAACCCCATGTAACCCACAAATGAGGACAAACCTTTGCACCAGGGTGGGAATCAGTTTATGGATCACTTGCATGGTGGGTTCAGTTGTTTTATTAGTCACATTGTTTCACATCATCACATTTATGTGTTTATTTTGCTCTTTTTTTATTTGTTGGTGTCTGCTTGATATAATATATGCATTTGTACATCTAATGTTGGGTTTGTTTAATCACTTATCATAGACCGGACACAGTTATCATGCTTTGCTTTTGTTTTGTGTCTAGGTGGGGTTGAAAGGCCCTTGCAGCAACATCCACAATGTAAATAATAAAATAGAGAACTAATTAAAGCAAATGGAGACAATTATTTGATGCAGGACACAAAATAAAATGTGGACAGTATAAACTAAGTTTGTAAACTCACATGAAAATTGTACCTGTAACCCCCCTCCCAACAAAAGAAAATGGCTAAGGAAATAAAAACTTAAAAGGGGGTGGGGGGGCATCCTGTCTATAACACAGGGAATATACAGTCGTGGTCAAAAGTTTTGAGAATGACACAAATGGCAATTTGCATATACTTCAGAATGTTATGAAGAGTGATCAGATGAATTGCAATTAATTGCAAAGTCCCTCTTTGCCATGAAAATGAACTTAATCCCCAAAAAACATTTCCACTGCATTTCAGCCCTGCCACAAAAGGACCAGCTGACATCATGTCAGTGATTCTCTCGTTAACACAGGTGAGAGTGTTGACAAGGACAAGGCTGGAGATCACTCTGTCATGCTGATTGAGTTAGAATAACAGACTGGAAGCTTTAAAAGGAGGGTGGTGCTTGAAATCATTGTTCTTCCTCTGTTAACCATGGTTACCTGCAAGGAAACACGTGCCGTCATCATTGCTTTGCACAAAAAGGGCTTCACAGGCAAGGATATTGCTGCTAGTAAGATTGCACCTAAATCAACCATTTATCGAATCATCAAGAACTTCAAGGAGAGAGATTAAATTGTTGTGAAGAAGGCTTCAGGGCGCCCAAGAAAGTCCAGCAAGCGCCAGGACTGTCTCCTAAAGTTGATTCAGCTGCGGGATCGGGGCACCACCAGTGCAGAGCTTGCTCAGGAATGGCAGCAGGCAGGTGTGAGTGCATCTGCACGCAATGTGAGGCAAAGACTTTTGGAGGATGGCCTGGTGTCAAGAAGGGCAGCGAGGAAACCACTTCTCTCCAGGAAAAACATCAGGGACAGACTGATATTCTGCAAAAGGTACAGGGATTGGACTGCTGAGGACTGGGGTAAAGTCATTTTCTCTGATGAATCCCCTTTCCGATTGTTTGGGGCATCCGGAAAAAAGCTTGTCCGGAGAAGACAAGGTGAGCGCTACCATCAGTCCTGTGTCATGCCAACAGTAAAGCATCCTGAGACCATTCATGTGTGGTGTTGCTTCTCAGCCAAGGGAGTGGGCTCACTCACAATTTTGCCTAAGAACACAGCCCTGAATAAAGAATGGTACCAACACATCCTCTGCGAGCAACTTCTCCCAACCATCCAAGAGCAGTTTGGTGAGGAACAATGCCTTTTCCAGCATGATGGAGCACCT